CGACTACGACAGCCTTCGATGTCTCCTAGAACATAGATCCACCTGTCACGTGAGTCGGCACGTGCGTGTACAGTAAATAACTAAATAATATACTGTACACTTTTTTCCTTATTTTTTCGTTTTTGTTCTTTATTTTATTTTACAATTGGATATGAAAAGAGTGAATGATAATTACACATTACAATTACAGCTATTAAATAGAACCAACTGATTATGGGTTCAATTCAGCTTCTTTTTTTGTAAGCTCGAGCTTGATTCAACTCGATTAGTTTACGGTGGAGCTCGATTCGGCTTAGTTCCCTAAGGAGTCGAACAGTATCAACACTTCGAGTTTGTTTCGGTTGGACTCATTTGCGACTTGCATAGTCTATTTACAACACATTTTTATCGATTTTGTTCAAAGAAAAATCGAGAGAAAATAATAATAATAATAATTGCGGATAATTATTAAATTACAAGTATTGGAAGTTAAATATAATATCGATATCAAACTAAACTACAATAGTAGAATCAGGTTATACCAAAATTTACATTTTTTTTTATCAACAGGGGTTGGCTCGAGTGGTAAGCAGCTTGATGTCGCTTAAACAAGGTCTCGGGTTCGAGTCCTTGTGGATGCAGAAAACCCTTGTCTGCCAGGTGTGCGACCCAGGTCGACCAACGGATTAATCGGAGCATAGCTCCGGAAACCGTGGCTGACTACCAAAAAAATTACATTTGTGAGTGAATATATTAATAATAGTGACAAACAACATATAGAACATGAAAACTTTCAACCTATTTGTACAATCATCGAATTTTTTACCGTTTGATCAACAGACCTCCGTATGTGTATATATATATATATATATATATATATATATATTGTATATGTTGATCCAACGATAAATACTCCAATGATTGCATTGCAGAATCGACATGCATAGAATCTATATATATATTAAAGCAAAGCAACTCAAAATTTCCCCCCAAAAACTACATTTAATACATTGTAATAACTTTTATCAATTTCTATGCATGATTTATTAACAAAAAATATTTATGTCATATAAACAATTAATTTATATTGTAAATATATTGGAATTTGCACTCCAATTTTTCTTGACTAAATAAATGCTTTAACTACATCTATTACCATGAAATAAATTTTGTTAATTTCTATGTATTATTTACCATTCAAACAATAACATAAATGTGTGTTACAAGTAAATACTTATTTTAGTCATAATCAATTATTATACAAATCCCAATTATATATATCTTTTATAATCAATTATTGTTACAAATAATGTTTAATGTTATATATAATTATTTATTATGAATTCTCATCTCAATATCTCACTTATTATTTGTCTCACTTACAGTTTGTGAGTATGAGTTCCTTTCCCTTTATAATAATTTTTATAATAATAAATTATCAATCTTATTTAATTAATCACTAAAATAAAATTCCAAGTCAAATATTTTATTTAGTTATTATTATTTTTATTGGAACATCAAACACAATATTATGTTTTCGGTTATATTGGGTATATTTCAAGGTAAAATAGAAAAAAACAATAACTAATATGATATCTATATGTAACATATGTTTTCATAAAAATATTTAATAGTAGCACCATACCACATTTGAAACATATACTCTATATTGATGAAAATAATTTTATATCTTTATATAATTCTAAGAAATTACAAGTGATCATTAGTTTATTT